TTCCCTAGGTCAAAATCCAGTTTTGATGGTGGCTCTTTAGCAGGTGATAAGAACGACTGTAAAACAGAAAGCAAAAATGATTCGAAGACTGAAAGGAAAAAGTCTTCTTCTTCCAGTCAGGTAATTTGAGAATGGAATGTGTATGATTGTCTCTGGGGTTGAGAGAAATGTTGAAGCCAATGGAAGGGAGAAACCTAAGGACGCAGCTTCCTAAGGGTCGGAACCAGTGCAGGTACAGAATTTAGATAATTTAGGAGAACAGACAGGCGGACAGCAGCTCCTCCAGTCAATTTTTCTTCAATATTATATTCCACAGCTGATCTTTCCAGACTTACTGGATTAATTCTGAGTTCCATGCTGAGGCCCTAACTCTGACAAGTACCCAGAGAGCAGAGACCAACACAAAGTCACGGGCTTGCCTAAAAATTAGTTGGACAAGGAAAGATGGGACCTCCTTCTATTAAAACCAAAGTCCAGGGCCAGCCAGTGGCATGGTAGTGAAGGTGGCTGGATCCCACATGAATGACTGTAGTTTGAGTCCCAAACCCAACAACTTGATAAACACACCAGGTGCATGTCCCCAAAGGAGGGAGAACTGAGAAGGGATCGCAGCATGGCCATTCCCCATAGGGGAGATCTGTTTCTATCGATCTCTGCTTCTGTCTATCTCTATCTCTGTTTCTCTCATGTGAACACACGTGACGTCTGGTTAATCTAAATAAATTTTTTTTTTTAAATGAAGAGTCTGGTAAAGTACCAACTTGAATAGAAGGTCATCTGCCCCAGAGGAGGGAGATCTATGAACGGGGTCATGATTATTCTCCAGAAGTAACTTTAGTTCTGCCTTAAGATATACACAGCCAAGCCCAGTTCCATGTCATGGAGCATTTGCTGAGGCCAGGAGTTGGGGAGTTTTTTGACACTTCTCCCTTAAATTCTTAAACGTGGGTCTCCTAAACACTGAAACAAGAACTATTGGCACACTCCAGAAATGTAACTCAGTATTAAATATACAAAAATATTTAAGCATAAAATCTATTTTTGAATTTCTACTGTTGTCCCAGCACTAAATATCTTTTATAAAATTTGTGAGATTTTGTTTGTATTTTCCTCTCTAGGACCTAATCAAAAGTATTGGGTTTATTACATTGTTGAAAAAGTCGTGACGTATTTGTCTATGCAACATGTGTCATGACTTTTCCAATGGCCCAATATTTGCTGTGTTACTTTTTAATTTAGATTAAAGTCCCACCGCTATTTCTTTCTTTTTTTTTTTTTTTTTCTTTGCGATACTTTTGAAGAATCTGTGGCCTGGGATATCTTGAATTCAAGCAAGCAACCAGTGTTCACGATAAACATTATAAACAAAATTTCAGTAATACCCCTACACACCAGAGCACCTAACTTTAATCAAGGGATCTTCCTAGATGCAAAATGTATGTGTCCGAGGAAGCAGTATGAGGTCGTTTACTGTGTATAAAGTGCACCTGTCACTGAGCTGGCTTTCGGGCCCCACTGGTGTCTTGATGACCTGGTCCATAGCTCTTCTGGGCAGCAAGGGCAGGGCCTCTTTGGCCGTTGAGGCTATTCTTGGTTTGGATCATAAAGTACCACTACTTAACCTCTCTGTTTATCTTCTAAGACTTTTTCTTCAAGAGCACCCTTTAAGGCAGAGTGAGTCTGGTGGGAGGTCCTGGCCCTGCCTCTGGTAGCTGTGTGTACTGGTTGTATCACTCGTTATTCCCTAGGAGTGGTGCCTAACCTTTGAATGGGACACTAGGGTCCTAGGGCTTTTGTGAGGATATTTGTGAAAACAGTTTACAAACTGTTACACGCAGATTACCAAATTGCTGGCTATACCTTCCTCTTCTCACAGTTGTGGAAACAGAGGCCTTGAAACTGAAGCAGTTTACAGCACGTCAAGCTCTTGGGCCTTCTACTGCCCTGGAGCATTAGGTCTTTTGTAGGAAACCCTACCTCTTCAGTACTCTACCCTGCTCTACTCCTGTCACGGCCAGTGAAGTGACTTCACAACAGTAAGAGTAACAGGGACCAGACATTTCCCCCAAGTAATAGGTCCTTCAGATGTGTTGTCCCATTTAAGCATTGTGACATCCCTCTGGGACAGGGAATATTTTTTATCCTCTGGCTTACAAGAGGGAGCTGAAGCCCAAGGAGGTTAATTGAGTAGGCCGTGACCACACACCAAGGGAAAGGTAGACCCGCGACGTAACTCAGGTGTGGCTGACTGCAGAGGTTTTAACCGCCGTACTCTTCCGAGAGCACTCACTCATACCCTTAGTGGCCTGGCATGCAGTTCCTTCCCTAATGAGATTCCTTGGGATTTCATCTCATTCCCTATCACGAACATCCTGGTCCAGCCCAGGGGCCTCAGCAGAGGGCGGACCACCAGCTGCTTCGTGACATCCAACCAGCAGGGCATAAGCCTTGCTGGGAAATGAACCCCCCGTGCCCTGATTGCCACTGTTTTTACTGAAGGGTTGTGTTAGAGACTGCGAGCTCAGAGAGAATGAATTCCTAAAGAGGGATACAGGGGAGGAGACTATGTTATTTCATTTCAGTTGAAGTTAAAATGTGTCATGTGTCGCAGAAAGCGCGAGAGCAATGATGCCTGTATTTTGTTCTCATTGTAGTACAAGGCAAATATGCACTTTCACAAGTTGTTTCTTGATGTCCCCACTGAGGAGCCACTGAGGCAGAGTAAGTTCTGACCCGTCGGCGTTTTATGCTGCGTAATTGCTACATTTCTGATGAGTGTGGGGGGACAGAGGGGGCAGGTTTGGGAACAGAGTCACTAAGGGGAATCGGTTTCTAAAGTCCATGTAAGCATAATGCCAGCCTCCATCAGCGTTCACCGAGCACCTCACAAGGTAAGGGCAGAAGGAGAAACTGAATCTAGGGACTCATACCGGACAGTTGTAGAACAGTGTCCATGCGGTCTGTATCTGCGGCTGAAACGAACGTAATCGGATTGTGCTGAGGTCCAGAGTAGCAAGCCTGAGGCAAGAGAGGCCACTGGAAGAAGGTGGGAGGCACAGTTCTAAGTGGCAGAGCGGGGAATGCCTGTGCTGCACAGGGCCTGGTGCTCACACCTGAACGTCTTGCCCAGCGTGCCAGTTACACACCTGCTCTGCTCATCACGGGCCCAAGGTTCCATGTCAACCTCTCAGTGTACAAATGTGGGGCAAGACTCTGGTTCGCACCGTGATCTCCAAGTAAGAGGTATGAGTCGCATGTTCTCCAGAGTCCACCAAGATCATCTACTTCAAAAGGAGTCACTAACTGGGGTTAAAAGGTAGCATGGAGGTTGAGACGCCAGGTCCCACATGGCTGGTTGAGCAGTTCAAGTCCTGGACCCAGCAGCTTTGAAAACCATGCTGGGCACATATACATGTGTGCCCAAATTCCAAGAAGAGAATGGAGTAGAAGGAATTACTACGTGGCCATCCCCCTGGGGGATGGTGATTTCTCACTTTCCCACTTTCTCTCTCTTTCTCTCCGGCGAGTACACTCACCCTATAGCAAAAACAAAAAACAAAAGGAGTCCTTAGTAAGAATCCATGCAAGTGGAAGACACGAGTGCTAACTGCACATGGGGTCACACCTACCTAACGGAGATTTCTGAGACACCCTTCCTGGTTTCTGAAGTGCAATGGCAGACTTGCCTTTCCACTTTGACTCTTGTACTAAAGTGAAAACTTTGAACTAAAGAACAAACCCCAATTGCTGTGGCTTTATTCCACCAAAGATGGCTGGAAAAAGATGGGATAGATCTCTGAAGCATGAATGTGATATTGCTGCGTTACCAAACTGTATAATATTCAACTCGTAATGAGATTACATCCCCATAAACCCATCATAAGTTTAAAATATCGTAAGTCAAAAATACATTGGCATGGTGTTTAGGCAACTGGATCCCGCATGCCTGGCTACATGGTTTGAATCCCAGACCCAGCGACATGAGAAACACACTGGCCACAAGTACTTCTAAGCCCAAAATTCCAAAAGGAGAAATGGAGAAAGGTTGTCACATACCAATCCCCATGCGGGTGGCTTTTTCACTTTCCCTTTCTTTTTCTTTCTCCTTAGGCAAACACATGCCCTCTAGCCAAATTTTTTTTTTTTTTTTTAGTTTTTTTGCAGTCACCAGAGAGAGAGAGAGAGACAGGGAGAGGGGAAGTGAGAAATTACCCCCAGGGGGCATGGCCATACCACAATCCCCTCTCCTCTGTTCTAGGATTCTGGGCACGCACCTGGTGTGCTTTTTAAGCCACCGGGTCCAGGACTCAAACTATGGTCAGCCGTGTGGGAGTCCAGCCACCTCAACCCCCTGATTTTCAAGCCACAGTGAGCTGTGGTTAGCCATGTGGGAGTCCAGCTGCTTCAACCAAAATTTTATAATATGCTTAATACCCCAGTAAATCCATCCAAAGTTGAAAGATCATAAACCAAATCATCACAAGTCAGGGACTGTCTTAACACATTTTTTATTTTTAAGTAGAAAGTCTAAATGATGCTCTGCCTGTCCATATTCTCCCAGGCTTTACCTGTGCCCTACAGAAAGAAATACTCTACCAGGGAAAGCTCTTCGTATCCGAAAACTGGATCTGTTTCCATTCCAAAGTCTTCGGAAAAGACACTAAGGTTGGTATCATTTTTAGAAAAGAAAGTTAACCCTACATTTAAAAAATATGTTGTGGGAACCAGCAGTTAGCATAATGGCTATGTCGCTGGACTCCCACATAGTCGACCACGGTTCACGTCGTGGACCCGGCGGCTTAAAACTCACGCCGGCCGTGTGTGCGTGCGTGCCCAAGATCCCGAGAGGAGAATGGAGGAGAAGGGATTGCGGCGTGGCCATCCCCCCTGGGGGGTGATTTCTCGCTTTCTGTCTCTCTGTCTCTGTGTGGTGAGCGCATGCGCCCTATAGCAAAAAAACCTCACCCAAAAAAAAAAAAAGTTGTGAGTATTAATTGTTTTCATTTGAGGTGTATTTATATTTATGTGTATCAGGATTATGCCTTTCTGAAACATTTCCTTTGTCGTGGTTCCAAGCAGTGCAGGTTCTAGGTGCCTACAGATGGCATAACTTCCCTTTTCCCCCAAATACCACTCTCTCACCCATTTCCTCATACACACGTCTGCCACAGCCATACTCTAAATCCGTTTTAACCAGATGTCACCAAACGACATTCAGATAAGCCCTTTATATGGAAAATATGCCGTAATTCAATTCAAAGGCATTCATTACAATGAAAACAATTTGTAAGACCTATCTATCCATTTTTGTATATTTTATGAATTGATGCTTTTTTTAAAGAATTGTTTAACTTCATTTATTTTTCATTTTATTTTATTTATTCATTCATTCATTTTAATTTGATCAGACACACACACACACACACACACAGAGAGAGAGAGAGAGAGAAGGAAAGTGAGAAAGCAAGCTACCAGGTCCAGGACTTGAACCATGGTCAGCCACGTGGGAGTGTCCAGCACCTTAACCACCATGCCACCTGCTAGTCCCCTGGATTGATGCATTTTTAAAATGTGTTTAATATGTCTTTTAAAAATTGACATCAGAGAGGGCAGCAGGTGGTATGGTGGTTCAAGGTGCCAGACTCCCACATGGCCAACCACAGTTCAAGTCCTGGACCTGGCAGCTTATTTTCTCACTTTCTCTCTCTCCCTTTTTGTCTCTCCCTGTTCAAATTCAATAATAATAACAAAGATAAATAAAATTATTCTTAAAAAAATATTTACATCAGCAACATCCAGAACAACTGGCCTGTACATCAGTTACTTAATCGAACTCATTTTGTACCCTCATCAGCACGAAATGGACAGGAATCGAAGCAGCTGAGCCTTGTCCAGGGGAGTCTCTTTTTTTTTTTTTTTTTTTTTTGGGGGGGTTTTTCCCCACAGGGCA